AGGCTTAGACTTCTGAATAAAAAGGCTTGGGTCACAACCCTTTTTTCAGCTCAGATTCTTCCTGCTGTCAGTGTTTTTAAAAACTGCATAGGAAGAAATTGATAGGGTCAGGCTAGGAAAACATTATCCCGCTTGGCCAGTTGTTTGGAACTTCATGACATACCGGCATGTAATGCCAAGTGATCTCTTCAGCACATTTCCTATAGCACAAGGCATGCTGTAGGAAAACAACCCTTTTCGACAGCAGCACAGAAGGCCTGTCACTTCTCTATTTCCAGGGTTGAGGCCACTTGGGTGAGGATTTGTAACTTAGGTTGCCAAAGTACATTAGAGTGGAGAAGACCGAACGGGGAATTTCATAGTTTGCTATAGAAAGAACAAATGGAGAAGTATTCAAACTACAGTCATGCTGTCAAACTGTGTATATTCAATGTCCTCAGAATGGTCACAGCCTCTTACAGAAAGGAGAGTTGGAATGGAATTATTGCAGTTTTGCCCATTATACCTTCAAATGAATATCACAATTGGATTGGCTAGATGTTGATTCTAAAGTTTAGGGTCCTAACCAAGATCCTACAAGTCATAGAGGTGCTATTATTATTATGGTTGGTCACACAGTCAGCCAGATATTTAGACTTGATTTGTCATTTTTATCCACCTATTGAGTTCTTCCCAAGGACCTGGGATAAACAGATGCTGTTGTTAAAGGTAGTGTCATAGGATGCAAGCTGTTCCAAGTAAAGCTGCCTTTTGTAATTGACTGGTGGTGATTTTGTCAATACCAATGTTATTCAAGTGGTGTTCCAGATGCTTTGGAATTGCACCCAAGGCACCTATTATTACTATTTGTACTACCTTTGTTTTCTTTCTTCACACTTGTTCTGTTTGCAGATCTTTACATTTTGTGATTTTTTTCCCCAGTTCTTTCTCTTCTATTCTGCTGTATCCAGCTATTACAATGTCCACTATCCAGATTTTTTTGTCTTTCTTATTAACAGTTAAATCGAGTGTTGTGTGGCAGATGCTTGTTTGTTTTTTAGCTTTTTTGTTTTCTGATACTTTGTCTGCTTTGTGGTCCCACCAGTTGTTGCTTGCAGGCAAGTAGCATTTCTTGAAGATATGCTATTGAATTATTGTTGCTAGTATATCATGCCATTGTTTGCAATCATCTTGTGTAATCTTCTTGCAGCAACTGACAAAGTGGTCCATTGTTTCTTCAGCTTCTTTGCAGAGGGAACTTTTGCTGTCTGTTGCTGTCTTCTCAACTCTGGCTTTATATCCATTTGTTCTTAGGGCTCAGTCTTGTGCAGCCAGAATTAGCACTTCTGTCTCTTTCTTCAGCTTTCCTTTTCTTATCCATTGCCAGGTAAGGAAATTACAAGGGCCAGAAATCACATAGTCATAGACATATATTTTTAAAAAACAGGCTATAACCTTAGAAGAATCTTCTCAAGTTCTAGTTCACAGTGTATATATTATACATATTTTTCATCTTATTTTCATTTAGAGACCCAACTGAAAAAAATGTATTGCTGAAAATTTGCTTGTTTCTACCCAGTTTTGGCAGTGCACATGAGGAGGGGTGGACTATGGTCAGACAAATGGTGTGAAGCTGCATGTAGTTCACAGTAATGGATTGCCTACCAATGACATAAACTACACCACATGATAGTCAATATTATGGTATTTTCCCAGACATTGTACCTGTACTGTATATGTATATGTTAATATTTCAGTCTTTCAAACAAGATTGATCATAGAGGTCTTTCTTATTTAATTTGCATTTGTCTTTCTAAAGGGGCATTACTTCAGTAAGTGAACAAACTGAACTATTTCATGTGCCTAGAACATTAATTATGCAAATTAAGAAGCATAAGTTGATCTTGTTAGCATTTTAATTTTTGTCTTTAGCAATTGCACAGGGATGGGAGATTTAAACTCCTCAATGTTTTTTTGCAAGACTGGTGTGTATTAACACCACCACCACCACCCCATGATCAGTAAACCAGCCCACTGGTTTCCGGTGCTTTTGCTTTTCTTCCTTCTTCTCATACCACTGATGTTCTGGTTTGTAAGCTTGTTCTTTGCTGTTAACCCACTTTTATTACTTTCTAAATGAAGAGAGCAAACATATCTAATATTCCTTCCTCTAGTCACTTTCCCCACAACAATAATCCTGTGAGGTGTGTTGGTCTGAGAGAGAGTAACTGGCCAGCTTTCATGCCTAAGGCAGGACCAGAACCTATAGTCTCCTGGTTTCTAGGCCACTTCCCTAACCACTACCCCAAACTAGCTGTCTTCTCCCAGCCTATCCTGCCATTTTTAGAGCACTCTCCTTTTGCTTCCTTTCCTGCCTCCTTTCAGCTCAGCCATGGTGGGTGGAATGGGACAACTCACCATGGCCAACTCACCGCAGCCATCTTGCCGCAGCCAACTCACCCCAGGACAATTCCATGCAGGATAACTCAGCGTGATAAATGTTATCTGCCACTGTTTCCTCAACATTATTTCCTTTGACAAAAATGGAAATAATGTCGAAACAGTAGCAGATAACATTTATTCCATTGAGTTATCCTGCAGTGAGTTGTCCTGCAGTGAGTTGTCCTACCGCTAGTTGGCTGCGGCAAGTTGGCCTCGAGATGGTCTTGGCGAGTTGGCCGCAGCAAGTTGTCCTAGACCCCATAGCGGGAATATCAGAATAGCATATCTGACTAACCTCTGTCTTCTCCTTTTCCCACAGGGAGGGGTTGGAAAAAAAGTTGAATTCTCTCTCAGATAAATGTAGACTTTCTCCCCACTGTTTTTGATTCTTTACATTGGAAGGAAAAGGAAGGAAAATGGAGGGGATTCCACCTTGTCCATAATAAAAGAAGTATGTATAAAATATTTCATTTTCTTCAAGAGAAAACATAAAAACAGAAGAAAACTCATAATTCACATTTGCAATATAATCCATTGAAACATATTTTATCTCATCAAATGAGAAAATAAGGAAGTTTTCTTATGTACTGATGTATATATTTAAAAAGGTAGAGTCTCCTTGAAGTCAGATTGGAGTTCTGATAACTTCATGGACTTCCCAGCCTAGCCTACAGACTGGATGAATGAATTTAGGTTGTTTCTATGTGTTCTATGTGTATATGTAGATAATACACATGCTCACAAATTCAAAGCAAGCAAGTCTTCAAACAGAAGAAAAACTGAAACATTTGTGCAGATGATATTGCGCTGCATTTCTGGACAATTTATTTATTCTATTAGCTATTAACCAAACAGCAACAAATATCTATAGTTCAATTTCATTTAAATTATATCTATATTTTATACACTTATTGCAACTTTTTAAACAGCAATCATAACTCAAAATAACTCAAAAATAAGACTCAAAATAGCATTAAGGAAGATTAAATTTCTGTTGTTGCAACATACAGGCCTCAAAAGGCAAGCAAATGCCAGAGAATGGGGTTGATTTTGTCTTTGTAGTCTCGTATTGACTCTGATTTATAAATAGGGCATTATAGGAACCTTGACATTTAACTCAAAGTCTGCAATATAATTTGATTCTTTTAATGAAATACAAAAGCTTTAAAAATATGTTTCTTTTCCTTGCTCTCCCCCATCAGTGATTGACATTTCTTAGAACCAGCTGTGATATTAAATGCATTTTGAAAAATGCAATACAACTTGTTGGAAGTGCAGACTGTAATATTTGCATCCAAACTCATAGCCAGTTTAGCTTTTTTCTCTGGTGTTCTGACCCACAGGAAAATCACTCATCTGAAGTTGCTATTTTGAATTGGAAGAAAGTTCTTCACTATCATTTTGATAGTTATTTGATATACCAGATCATGCTACTTTTAAAAAAAGATTAGATGAATTGAATCTCACATATAGTTTAACCTTTAATACCCCAGATCCTTCAGTGCCTAGTTATTGCTTCATATTTCTATATATACAGGGTTTTTAAAGAAAATACCTTAATACACATAGATAGAAAATATTGTTCGGAGATCACACAATAAATTCTGAACTGATCTATTGGAATATGATTCCTATCCACAATTGATGATTTAATGATACTCATAGTTTAATTAAGCATAGCCATCCACTAGTAAATAAAAGAAGGGCAGTAAGTCTAAGTATTCCTTCCTTTCCACAAGAGTTAATATTAGATAGGTTTAGATATTAGATAAGATTAGATAGGTTTCTTCATATGTATTCAAAAGGCTCTCTGGATCAAATTGAGGGCATTTTTGTCCCAGAAAACCCAAACAAATCTACAATAATTATACTCCAAACATTCTATGTACTATTAAGTATTAAACAGGAAGTATGAATATGTATATTGAAAAGAAACCAATAAGAAGCAAAACTATTCCATTAAATATTCTTTGCATTTTTATTCATTATTACCTTTGATTCCTAGTTGCATCATTCCAGAAAAAGTCCCATTTAACCTAATTTAGTCATTAGATAGAAATCAGTTTGGCTGTTTAAAATTATCACATATTGCAGTTTTGCACTAAGTGGATAAATGTTTGTGCTGCTCATTAAGGAGATAGCAAGTTTTCCATAGTGTTATCACAACTCCTGATAACTCCTGATCATGAACCCCAAAAAGGATCAAATTTGGTACAATGTTGCATAAAATAAAGGCAGATCTTAAAATAATGACTGTGATATAATAGAAATTACATCCATCTTGACATAATACAGAAGGCTATGATAAGGTGACTTGTGTGCCTTTGCTTACTCTCCAACTGAGAAGTGTTCATGGAGTGAAATCAGAAAAGTCAATATAGCAGCCATAATGATGTGATTGATAGTATACCTGTTTATTATGTGCATCACATATAGGACACACATTAAAACACCCAGAGTTTCAGTTGCACCACTCAGCCACCATTTTCAATTTCTTGACCACACCTGCATAAACCTTTGCCTCAGCTGCTAATTGTTCACAAGCATCTCCAGTTTAAAGTACTATCTCAACTGATTTTTATTTATCATTAAGTCATACATGTCTTGAAAATCTCTTCAAGTGGAGTATGCCTTTATATGGAAAAACATCGTTGACAGCCCTTTAAATGGATGGTTGCCTTTTATGAAGTAGGATATTTGAAACATCCTAATCACAAGCTTTTGTATTCACTTTACTTTTGTTGTAAAGTAATAACTGAAAATTGCTCAAATCATGCCATGAGTTGTTTCATCTGAGCAGATCTAACGCAGGAACAACCAAATGCTACTTTCTAAGACAATTTCTTCCTAATGGCTAAATATGTAAACAGACTAGTTATTTTTCGAGGAATAATTTAGTAAAGAACCATTAAACAATGACAAAAGGCACCACTAACAATCAGTTTAGAATATAGGGATGTAGTTGTTAATTTTTGTTCTGTGCCTTTGAGAAATGCATTCAGCAATCCATACAATATTTCTGTTTTCTTGTTCCTTCAGTTTAACATAGGAATAAAAGACTCCAAAATGAAATTGATTGTTGAATGCCAGCACATTCATTTTTACCTGTACAAAAGGAGAAATGCATTATTATTATTTTTTAAAAAAGGATAACCGGTTACCTGTAAATCATGTATTCAAAAGAGCCTTATAAATGGCAGTAAATCTAAATGGATTTTCTTTTTGCTTTGCTCAGTAAAAGCTGGCCTGTAGTTTAACCATATCTGAGCATTTGTGGCAATGCTTCAAATAGCTCACAGGATCATCAAAAACAGCAGAATTGACAGAAGGGGCAACAAGGGCAAGATTGTCAAAAGCAGCATTGTGGTATTGTGTCACTGGCTCCAGGCCTTTTCTATATACATTATGACAGTATACCTGTCCCATAGGGTGTAATTTATGGCATGATGTTCTGATGCTGCTTTCATCATTCTGATGAAAGAAGACAAATTCCTATGTATGCCACTTATCACAAAGGTTAAAAAAAAATTTTTTTATTAGAAGCAAGGAAGTTTGTGAATTTTAGAACAAAGTCCACACCAGCCTTTGAGTCAATATCACAAAAGTCCACACGGCAAAAGAGGATGGATATTACATTAAAGGCTTAATGTATTAAAATTAAAGAAATGAATTATTAGTGTTATAACTTTGTGTTCATTTTATTATATTCATGAAACATGGACTTTCACACATGATTACAGTGATTTCAAATGCTTCATGTCTCAGTCAATTCTCAGAATTTAAAATAAAGTAAATTAAGGTTTCTGTGAAGAAAATCAAATGAGCCCAGAGTCACCTTCTAGGGGGAGATGGGCAGCATAATAGATAGATGACAGACAGACAGACAGAAAGACAGACAGAAAGTAAGCAACCTGTTCTGTTGGTCACATAGGGACATGCAGAGACCACCTTACAATGCACATCTTCCAGCCTACTAATCTAGGAAGTCATTTCCCAGTCTTGGGTACATCCACAACACATAATGTCTGTTGGGAGGCCCACGAAACAAAATGTCTCAGAGTACATTGAAAAGAAAGAGCTTGGGAAGACAGTGTTTGAGAACAGGATGAAATCTTACCTCAAGCTCAAAAAAAGCATCTTCTAAGGTTTTGTCACCTGTGCCACCTCCAACCATTTCAAAGCAAGCCTTGTATTCCTGAAAGCACAAGCAGCCACCAAATATTCTGTAAAACATTTAATTGCTTCTTTTTGTTTATAAGTGATCTTGGTAAATCAATTTTTTAAAGCATAATTCTACGTATGTTTTATAAATTGCAAAACATGTTCCCTTCCTCTCTCTTTCTCTCCTTTCTTAAAATACTTCTTCAGGGAAAGTTTATAGAGGCCAGGAGTTCTAGTATCTCAGAGCTGCTTAGTCATTATAAACATAATCCAGCTAGGTGGATTGCTGGCCTGATTCATTTTAATGTGTGCACAATGAATCTTTTATGACAACATCATCATTACATGGACTAGGTTCACACATGCTAACCTATAGTATGCTTGGTTTGGTTTTGATTTAATATATTGCATAAATCGAGCTAACATGATGATCCATACTTATAGTCAGGGTGTTATATGATCCCAAATAACTCTGATTTATTCAAGACATTAAGATGTATAACCTAGCTTAATGTCAAGTATAACCTTCAGCACCAATTACTGCACATATAGTAGCAGAGAAATACAGCCATGTGAAATAAATTTGTCTTGTGGCTATATCTTTACTACATCATTTTATTAATTATTTTGATAATTTGTAATTTTATGAGAGATCATACAAGTAGAAAAATGAAATCTTATGCTAAAAACATACTTTCTCTATTCCATAAAATAGAAATTTCTTTTCTTTGAAGCCACTATAAATAAGTATTCTTACATTATGTTCAAATAACTAGCTCTTATAATCAGGTTCTAAGTGTTCAACAGTTGGTTGAGATAGAAAGCAGTACATATTTTCCTCTGAAAGCAGGATACCTATCCTTATTTTTTAATTTTTTCTTCTAACCTAGGATCCTAGAATGACTGTTTATAGGATTTGGGGGTTAATTCCTGTTTGCTGTGAAAACGTGAAAAGAAAAATAACCTGAGTGTTATTCTTCAAGAAAAAATTAAGATGGTAGAAAGGCTATCAATGGGCCTCTTGAAGTGTCAGAGTTCTGGAAGCTTTATCAGAATTATATCTTGTTTTTAACAATAGCTTAAAGTGGTATATATAACATTCAGTCCTATTTTTCTCTATTTTCTGTACAGTTGGCATGGAAGGTCAATAGCATCAAAATGCAGGCACAACTGGTGATCAAAACCCTGTCCCTATTTCATGTTAAGAAGAGGTGTGGCCTCAATCACCCAGTTGCATCCACTATTTTGACGCTTTTCTCCCCTGGATGTCCCCTTCCACTATCCTCCCCTCAATTATATACTACCGTAATTCCATTATAACATCAACGGTTTTTATCAGCAGTCATTGTTCCAGAATAATCATATTTCATATCTCAGAAAAGCAAGAACTACAAGTGGAAATGGAAATAGCATCTCCACCATTGGCCAGACAGCTCCATGCATTTCCTTTAATGAAGCAGGTTCAATGTTATCCATTTGCTTTGTTTAGAATCTGGTGCACTCAGTATGTAAGATTTTTAAAATTTGCCAACATATACCCTAAAATGGTATAGATAGAATATGCTTTCATTAGGCACAATTTGGAAATTACATACAGCATAGTAGTCTGCCACACCCTTCACTTGCTCATAATCCTCAGTCTTGGCGAGCATATCTAAACCTTCTGGATACAGTTTGCCACAAGTTGGATACAGCTTCTGTCTGTCCTCTCTGCTTAGTTCTGTTCCAAATGAATTAATTGTGATAATAAATGCCCGCCGGTCAGCTTCAAACTGAATAAAATAAAGCATATGACAATTTTACATATTTTTTTAAAGAATCATTCATAGATGCATAACTGTTACACTTAGTATTAGTAATCCTCTGAAGTCCTCTCTGTCTTTTGGCAATGTTGATAAAAAAAAACAGTTATAAGATTTTTCACCTGATTAAGCTTTTTGCCCTTTATTAATAATATAAAAGTTAAGTAAACACCTTTTCCAACCAACTGGGAACTTACATTATTTCCTAATAATGTAACTTATTCCAAAGGAAGAATTGAAAGAGCATAACTAAAATTAGTTCTGCGCAGAAATATCTGGATTTTTAACCAGTGAAATATTTCAAACCTTACTTATTAAAAAGAAATCAGTAGATTGTGTACTACAGAAGTGAATAACTTTTTATGCAATCTTTAATTCTGGCTGCTTATGCCAAGGAAAGGTGTCAACAAAACTATAAGAGAAGGAAGAGAATCCAGTGATGGATTGCTGATGGTTGAGTTTTTCTCAGTTTTTCAGTTTTCCAAATCTTTTTGATTTGAACTTTTGATCAGTATCTCACTTTTCCATTCAGAATTTTTTTTAATTCCATTCCTATATGAGTTTGAAACTTTTTTTAAAAAAACATGTATGCATTTTTACACACTGTTCTAAACACGTTATTTGCAATTTTTTTTAATATTACATTTTTATATATTTCTTTTTCCAAGCAACTCCCTCTTAATATAATGCATTCTTGTATGTTTATTTCATTAATAAATTCATTTTTGTGCAACCTCTTCTGTTTAATAGATATACATTAATGTGGATTCACATAGACTATGTTCACAGGATACTAAATTATAGGATCAACAATACCATGAGTTCTATCACCTGTTAGTTAAATCCATGTTCCTTCTGGCTCCATTGGACTATTGAATAGGATGTATGCAGTTCAATTCAGGAAGTGATAAATGCTTCTTTGGAAAAGATTATTATGCTACCACATTGAAAAAGACACTGTGGGCTCTCTTCTGAAGAGACCTAAAGGTTATTCAGAAAGTGATGGGACTCAACTATAGAGAAACCTATAAGAAATACATTATCTGGAATTACTCTGGTCAGATTTAGGTTCTTTTGTAGGATAGAAATAGCACCAGTCGCTCAAATGATAACCTTTCTCAGAATACTGTATGGATGGAAGAAGTATGTGTCATGGTTAGTACAAGTGGGGAAAAAGCTCCCAGTAAAAAAGCTGAATTGGCCTTTATGGCAGTAAACTTTAATGCATAACTATTGTTAGATAATTGACAGTTCTTATGATTTTATCTATAATACAGTGGAAGAAAAAAATATCAGCCAAAGTGGAATTTTTAACCTGCTCGAGAGGACAGTTTAAGTAAAATGCAATTAAAAGGATCACTAAAAAATTAAAGAAGTAGCAAATAGCCTAGCCACATTAGTGCTGGAGACATAACAGATCCATTTTCACATGCAAAGAACACCAAAGAAACCACTGATGACAGCTAAAGTAAACTAATTAAATACAGATTGGTGGATAGAAAGTGGAGAAAGATGCACTTATCTTTAATTAAAACTATGGAAGCAGATAATTTTATCACTTTTCTAGCCTCAAATTTCTTTTCGGGGCTTTGTGTCTGTGTTTGTGTGTGTGTATGTGTGTGTGTGTGTATTGGGTGAATACATATTTGGGATATCTGTATTTAATAATTTAATAATAATCCGTTACCTTATCTAATTTAATCAGGATCCCTAGAAAATCTAAAATAATTCAAGCCTATTTTTAAGGAAATTTATCTCTGCTATGTGTGCTATTAAAATAATTGAATATACCAGTGCAAAAGTATGCTGCATGCTGTGACTTAAAAATGGTTCCAGTCACCAAGATACAAAAAAGATGCTGAGACCCTAGAAAAAGTGCAGAGAAGAGCAACAAATACGATAAGGGGTCTGGCGGCTAAACCATATAATGAATGATTGAGAGAACTAGGGATGTCTAGTCTAATGAAGAGAAAGCTTAGGAGAGACCTGATAGCAGTCTTCCAGTACTTGAGAGGCTGTCACAGACAAAGACAGAGTCAACTTATTCTCAAAGCTACCTGAGGGCATTACAAAAAGTAACAGGTGGAAAATCATTAAAGAAAGATTCAACTAAGGAGAAATTTCCTGATACAACATTTAAGCAGTGGAACAGCTTGCCTGTGGAAGTTATGGATTCTCCATCACTGGAGGTTTCAGGAACAGCCTGGACAACCATTTGTCTGGAATGGTATAGGCTCTCCTGCCATGGGCAGGGAGTTGGACAAGAAGACCTCCAAGGTTCCTTCCAACCCTATTATTCTACGTTCTAGGATGGCTATGGTAATAGATGTGATCTGATGAAGAAATATTACATTTTTCTTACCTCTAAAATAGGACACATTATATCTGCTGTAGTGCCACCTTCTTTTTTGCAGAATGCATAAAAGCCCTCAAGATAGGACTAAAAAAATGGAACAGAAAAAATCATACATTTACAGTATTTGAAAAACCCTCTTTGAAAAATCATAGATAGGATTTAACTGGAGTTATTAATTTTGATGCGACTCCAGGACAATAGGAGAAATATTAGGATGACTTCTGCAACCTCATGCAAAAATGTAAGTTCACTAAACTTAGAGAGGCTTAGATGTGAGCAAACCTGCATAAATTAGCCCCCAGAAAAAATTATTGATACCTTCTACAGAGAGATTTGAAAGCTTCCATTTAAACATTATAGAGTAGTCAGAAAAATATGTTACAGAGTAGACAGAAGACATACTCATTCTGTTTTCTGCACATGTCATTTGCATCTGAACCTGCCTAAATTCTATATGTTGAATCCTATTCTTGAACAAAATGGTTTTGTGTGTGACAGATAATACCATAAAGTAGAACTGAAGTCACAAAGTACTTTTGTTTTTTTTGCCACTGCCCTTAATATATACATCCATCTTATTTGTACTTAATCTTTTATCTATATTTAGCAATAAATCTGCCATTTATTTTAAATCTTAATTTGCACAGATTTCTCTACATAATAGAATTCAAGTGGGGTTTACCTTGTACAGTTTGTTGCGCATGAGTTCAATATTCATTTCATCCAGGTCATTTTCAGATATACAATCTTGAAAAAAATCAGCTGTAGAGAATAATATTTAAAGTATAGACCAAATTTCAAAAAAAATATCATTTATTACATTTTTAAAAGCATGTTCAAATGCTAAGCAGTTTTTCTAACTATGAAAAAATAGAAGAGAATATAGGAAAAGTAACATGATTGTGGAACAATGTTAGTGTTAAATTCTTAGAAGAATTGTGACAAAATTAAAATGGTAAATGCTAGCCATAGCTTCCTGAAATGCCATTCTGAAATACTAGTTCACTATGGCTGGCTCTTGTTGTTGATCACATTGTTATAAGAAAAGTGATAAGTTTTATAGTGGCTGGGGTGTTGGCAGCACAGTGCCAATTCCAGAAACAGCATCTGAATATAGTTGTTTTTAAGAAACCCAGACCATCCTCAAATGCTGATTATTATTGTGGAATAGGCTAAGAAAAGTGATAGAAAAGTTTTCAAGTTCTGTGACTGGTATATCAGATTTAAAATCTTGGAGAACTATCGTTGTTAGAGTACCTTCTCAAATTGCAACCTGTATGGTTTTAAATTCTGAGAATTATTAGCAATAAATATGCTAGCTAAGACACTGGGAGAAGCGCCTGATTTCAGAAGGGTACCCTTACTGTAGACTGTAGTGATCTGAGTCAGTTGAAAGTAGCTTTGGTTCATATGTCACCAAACTCACACAGAGACCTACTTAAATTGCAAATATGTATGTCCCTCTCTTGCACAGAAAACCAAATTATCACGATGGAGCTGTAGGGAATCTGAGAGTGTTAAAAGTTCTGTATGACTGAAGGGAAGAGAAGGGAAGGGAGGGGAAGGAAAGGAAAGGAAAGGAAAGGAAAGGAAAGGAAAGGAAAGGAAAGGAATACATACTGTCTCACCCTTTTTCCTAATTATTTTGTGTCAACAGAGATTTGAAGGGGGATGCACATCTATAGCTTTGCTCTTTCCAAATGTCACTGTGGATTGAACTTATGTTACTTAAGATTAAGTTTTCTCTCCAGGAAACTACTCTGCAAAGAGTAGTTAAAATGTTAATGCAAAATATTGCATATATTCTTTGCAAAGGTCATGGTTGCTTGTAAAGCTGTTCCTGTGTATGCATACACTTCCACAGGACAGCCAACACAAAAACAAAACGGTGTATGGACATATAAATGGAGAAACTGTGAATGGCTTTCAAAGCAGCCACATAAGCCTTTGCAAAGGCTCTGACTCTAAGAGAGGAGACTTAAGCATCTTTGGTGGCTTAATATGGTTGTTAGAGGAAATTGATGAAACTGAAATAAGTGACATAACCTTTGCAGTAATGAGTTTGACCGGCCTGTGTAAATAAATCTGTGAAGGCACCCTTTAAATAATGTTAATTAGGTTCTTATCACCTTAAGATAAGATCAGTAAATCAATTTCCCAAAGTGCTTTCTATATATTGGATGTACCAGAGAATTTTCAGATTGTTTGCAATACCCTTGCCATTGGAGATTGGAATATTAACTCGTATAGTTTGCATTTGTTTTATTATTGCTGGATCAATTATTGTTGATTAAAGGAGCATATATTTCTCTTGGCTGTCTCTCTTAAATTTGGAATTATTTAAGACATTAATAATTTTCCACTTTTTTCAGGTATGGCATTGGTTAAAAGAACCATCATATAACACGGAAAGGATGATGATCTGCAGCAATGGACTGTTGATATATATGTGGGTGGTTTTATTTAATTGATTATTTTGACAGAGAGGTAAGAAAGAAGACATTCCTAAACACTATCATGGAATTTTGGGTTGAAAACATTTTTCCAGACTGTTTTTCTTTTTTTCCCTTTACTTCTAATTTTATTTTATTTTCATTATTATTAATTTTGAGAGTATATTATATTGCTAATACTATTCTATTCATTTTTTGTGATGTAGTATAATAAAAGATGTATAAAAAGCAAACATTCATACAAAATGTTTTAGCATGTGATCTACTTAGCTAAAGGATATTTAAAAACAATTTAATATTTATGACTTCCCAGCACTAAAACGATATGTGAGCAGTAATCACCAAGTAAATCAGAGCATAATAAGTTATGTTCATTTTGATGGGCCACATGTTTTTTTTTAAAGGAAGATGATATAATAGGAAATGTTCTCTTCCATGGAAACCTATTTAGAAATCTATGAAAAGATTAAGTGACGTACCTAATGGTGTGTCCACCAAGATTGCATTGAAGAGATCTGCAGGGTTTGGAGCAATGCTGACAGCTTCCATTTGCTCGAAGTTGCCCAAAGGATGGCACTTAAGAACCAATTCATCTATGGGTCTTTGGCGCAATGTACCAGTAACGAGGAGAATCACATTATCAATCATATAGCTATACCTAGTATGACAAGATAACATCACTCAAAGATTTTATTGCGTTCTGTGAAAAAAATATTTTAAAATCCAAGAGTCAGGTTAATGTTAAATCTAATATCTTGGGCCTTGTAGCAGAATTTTAATTTTCCTCTTAGCAGGGATCATACGATAAAATGGAAATGAGATTTTTTTTCAGAATGCATGCTACATTAAACAAAATGACAATATCATCTAAAAGGAATCTATTTTGCAGAGTGTTGCAAATTGAGAGCTGGGGAAGGTCCAACTCTTTTCACATTTCATTATCTACATATGGATTTTGTGATCCTCATTCTTCTTCATCTCTCTATCAGCCATTCTGAAACTTATAACCTCCAAATATTTTGGACCCCATCTCTTACCAATCTTGACCATAGCAGCTGAGCTGCCAATACTTGGAAAGCAACAGGCCTGGGAAGAGACTGTTACTTTATATTGATAAATAGGAGACACATGCTACTGACTCTTTAAGTCACATAGCAGTGTATTTGAAAACATATCTCTGCCCTTCTTCTTCTCTGGGTGATAAGTCATTTGGGTTAAATATTTAATTTTTCCTCTTAAAGTTTAATTAATACATTTTATAGAGAAGATATACGCAAACTTTCCTGTTTTTACATAAAACAAGGAAGTTAGATTGGTGACGTCAGTAACTTAATATAATATTCTAAGAAATGAATTATCAATTGAAATTCATTTATTTAATTGTAGTATTATATACTGCTGGCTCCCAAACAGATTCTCAGCAGGTTACAAAAATACACATAAAATCTACTCCCACTAAAGCAGAACACCAAGTCCAAGTTACATTGGCATACTAGTAAGCAAATATTAAAACACTAGGATATTTTAATTTATGCATCTCACCTTTATTATATTAACTCAAAGTGATGAACCTATCCAACACAACTTCCTTCTCCTATTTTCCTGTAACAACAATCCTGTGAGGGGATTGGACTGAGAGAGAGTGACTTGCCCAAGATCACCCAGCTGAATTTCATGTCAAAAGTGGGACTCATGGCCTCCGACTTTCTAACCTGATATCTTAATAGCCATTAAAGTCTCCAGTTTGTCTGCCTTTGAGGATAGTACCACCCAAATCTCCAGGAGTAGGACATTTTACAGATATGGAGCATGTACCAAGAAACACCATGTTGCTTTCCATTGATTTGTTCCCGGAGTGGCAGAGGTGGGGATGAGGGAAAGAGGTCTGTCTGAATTACAGCTCAAGGCAAATGCACTGGATGGAACAGTTCTACTTGAACCAGGCAGACTTGTTACTAACTACCCATGTTCCAACCATAAAGAGCTTTATACATTAAAAACAATCTTTGAACTGTACTGCATGTTATACCAAAGCTGGCTTCTGGTTTGTCTTCCAGGGCAATTGCTTGCAGAACTCTTTGCAGTAATCAATAGATTATGTTTCTGGTTCAGAATGATAAAACACAGCAATTGGTTCAGGCATAAAATCATAATTAATAGTTGAGTAAAAAAGAAACGGTACTTCAAACAAAAGAAGGAAATCTATTATTACTATGATGTTAAAAGGTAAAGATTTCCTCTGTCCAGTCATGTCCAATTCTAGGGAGTAGTGCTCATCTCCGTTTCTTAGCTAAGGGAGCCAGCATTGTCCTAAGACTTTTCCATGGTCATATGGCCACCATGACTATAAGCCAAGGCAACCAGAATGCTATTACCTTCCCACCAAAGTGGTACCTGTATCTACTCGCATTTGCTTTCAAACTGTTAAGTGGCAGGACCTGGGGAACTCACCCCATCGCACAGCACTTGGATCTTGAACCCAGACTGTTAGCTTCAGCGTCTTTAACCGCTGAGCCACCATGCCCCCTACTATGGTTAAACGATAAGTATTTGAAAGTATCAGTGAGATTGGCATAATGATTAAGGTACCAGGCTAGAAACAAGGAGCCTGTGAGTTCTAGTCCTGCCTTAGGCCAAAAGCCAGCTGTTTGACCTTGGGCCAGTCAATCTCTCTCAGCTTTAAGAAGCAGGCAATGGCAAACCACTTCTGAAAATTTTGCCAAGAAAACTACAGGGAGTAGTCCAGACTGTTGCTGGAAGTCAACAAAGGGACAAAAATATTTACATATTTACTGCAATCAGAAAAAAACCCATTACTAACAAATAGCTTGTCTGTGTTTTGAGCCTCCACATTAGTGTATTAAATTATCCTACCAAGTAATTTCTATTGCTTTTCTTTGAATGAGCATTGCATCACTCTTCTGTCACATAAAATACATATTTTTGGACAGCAGTCATTTATTTCAATGGAGCTTGAATGTGCTCAGCATGCTCCATTTCTATTTAAATTTATTCAGAATGCATAGAATTTGTTCACCACACAACAAGAACAGCAACAGAAATTATAAGAATCATTTGCTATCAATTTATTTCCTTAAAAGTATGCAAAAGTTATCACTTGTATAAGAATATGTTATTTTTCCATACATATATTAGACTTGTGACAGATTTTGCTTTGATAGAATCAGAAGGGGGTTAAAAGGTCACTCTTTCTTGATAGGCATTCTCAGCAAAGGGACCCCCAAAGCGTTGGGTGGCAATTCATGAGGCAGACTAAGTCATGTTGTTGCCTAAGAGATAATGACAGATAACTCCCAGTCTCCAATCTAAGTGCATGTTACTCAGTCAGTCATTCTGACATTTGAGGGAAACAAAAAACCTTCTGTGCTGTAAAGATGTAGCAATAATGAACAGAGCTAACACATAATTGTTCTCTTATGAAAGTCCAAATTAGCAGCCTAAGGGAAATGGTTAGGCTAAAATCAGTCACATTATTTTTCTAAGAAAGGTCTTAGAATGAATTGGCTTCATCTCTGGATCTGTTAACTTAAATAAATAAATAAGAAAACAATCAGAGGTTTTAGAAGTTTCTTCCAAGATTGCCATATCTCCCAGAATTCTTGTGGGTGCATAGCATCATCCCACGTACAACTCATAGTAAAAATCTAAGATAAAGGCACCCTGATTTGAATTTGGTGATGGCATCCAGGCAGATTTCTTGGCAATGTTATGGACATGTCTTCCCTTTGTCTTCTTCAACAATGTAGCTAGCTTTTTACTTTCAGTCTATCCAACAGCCATGGAATTCCTAGATGGTTCTCCATTCAAGTAATTTACCAAGGCTGATTCTACTTAGTTTCCAGCATCTCATAGCAACTTTGCCAAATGAAAGAAGAACAAGATCTGTTGGCCTAGCATTTGCATGTTTAATTTTTAGATGCAAACTATTAATTAATTAGTATATGTTCATAATCTCCAAGTATTCAGAGCAATGATACAAAAAATGGTAAATAATTCTTCTAAAAATTAATATGTGCATGATAAAAATATGACATATTAAATAATTTAACTCAATTTAAAGTGGAATAGCGAGTAGTAAATGCTAATAATCAAATACCACCATCCCTGCTTAAGCCCCAAACATACTGAATACTGTTCTACTTAGTTAGCTAAATGTTATACTTCCTAATTGGGTCATATTCTTGTATTATGTAAAAGTGCCATATCATGTATCATAATACATATTATGTATTATGTAAAAGTGCCATATCAGGTACCCAGAACATTACAGTAAGGCAATGATTAAGTATCCCTACTTCAATCCATGGTGCCAATGCCTGGCATGAAAGAGCAGATTTGTTGGCCTTTAGCTCCTTTTGAGTTCTTGTTACTACTGCAACCACATGAATGCTTATAGGGCATATAGTAAAACTTGCTCACAATGCTTCCTGGCATGCTGTCTAGGTGCTACAGAGTGTTTCTGAACCTTAGCAACTTAAGTTTGGGTGGACTTCAACTCTCAGAATGCTGGCTGGGGAATTCTGGGAGTTGAAGTCCACTTATCTTAAAATTGCTAAGGTTGAGAAACACTGGCCTAAAGAGTGAGAATAATAGCACCTCAATGTTATTGTGAATGCTCCAAGAGGTATTGGGTGATTGGTTGTCCTTGCATTTGAATTTGCCCCCAAGCCCTGGGAGCAACATAGGATAAGAGCATTATGAGAAATTTAAATGAAAGTGAGACCCAACCACCTAATACTACCCAGAATGTGAATAATGATAAGGATGGTGGTGGGGGTGATGGTGGTGCTGCTGTTGATAACAACAGTGATCATTTCACTATTCACAATTGCCTGGTGCTGCTTAATAATGCCAGGTTTTTTTAAATGATCTGCATTCAGCATTCTCTGGACATAGTTTGGGCTCAATCTATCTCATACTGTTTTTTAAATCACTTCTGAAAACTAACTTATGCTACAGGGAAAAAAATTCATTCCTGTTTATATGACCTGTCAGCCAGTGGAACATGAAGCCACATGAAGTGATAAATTTACTTTTGCTGGAAGTTTTCAAACAGAGGCTGGATGGTCACATCTCAGAGATATTATCTAGCAGATCCTGCATTGAACATGATGACAGCTAAGCTGTCTCCTATCTTTGTGATTCTGTGATATGAAATTGCAACCAGTTTTTACAAAGAAAGAAAGGTCAACAAGGTTAAAAACTCTCTGCCATTTTTATGACTCATCTTTCCTACTGAGTGAAATATTGCTGCAATAACAGAAAAAAAAATCTAGGAAAAAAAATGTTGAAGTTCTGTTTCTGGTTTTAAATAAGGCTACCCAACTTAGTATGAAGATATCCCAAAGACTAGTAGATGACAGCAGAAGATTATCTAACAGCTGTGTGGCAGCATAAGAATGTTATATTGCTAAATATTTATTGTTAATGTAGGTCTATGTATTAAACAGGCATATGAGTAAAACTATTATTTCTGGATGGAAATGTTCTGTATTTTGCTTGGCCACTCCAACGGTGTGTAGCTACCTAGCCAAGAAGACACAGTTTATGAAGTAATTTGGCAAGCATAACATGGGGATTTTCATGACTAATATTTAAACAGCAACAGCATATTTAAAAATATGTATGCATGAGATACCCGGGTTTTTTTATAATTTCTAAGATAAACATTAAATTTTCCTTAGGTTGAATTTAACTTCCGATGAATAGATGAATGAGTCCATGTTGCTTTCTTGGCAACAGACTGGAGAATTTTGTCATGAACTTTTGCAATGTTTTTGTCAGTGTCCTGCTCTAATCTAGAACACCAAGATTTTCTAGTTGTCTCCCACCCACGTATTCACCAGAGCTGTTCACGTTTTTAATGAAATGTTATACTTTTCAATATTATAAAGATATAGATTTGAGCTCCTCACCATAGCTCACTAGTACAATCATTTCAGGAAGTAACTTTACTTACGTAACATAATTTAGAAAAGTTGAAAGTGGCTCAAAGGCGTGATTTCTAAAATACTGAAATTCTGTCAGCAGTTTGAATTTTAGTTTGTCATCAATTGTAGAGACGGTGAGAGGACCGGTTTCATTGGCCAAGAAGTTTCCATAATCGGTGGTTTGTAAGTGTAACTTCAGGTCTAAAATAGAATTGAATAGATAATAACTATAAATTTATTGTTTTCAAAGAAATGAAGTGACAAATCATACCGATTTCCCGTTTCAGAGACATGTATACATGTGCACACAATATTTATTTTTCCAACTTTATTATTATTATTATTAAAGCATCTCAAAACAATAATCATGATATCTTAAAGTACTATAATACTTATTCAATAACAAATATAATATATTCATTAAAAAGCAGTGGGAAGAATTCTTTTCACCTTTTATATTAGGAAGGCCTGGGTGAAGAATATATTTTCAACAGACACTTTAAAGATCATATAGTAGGCATTTCGGGATAGGGGAACATTCCAGAGTGTAAATGTTCCTGTGTTTTAACCTCTAATCTGGCTACAAATCATAATTTGTTTAGAGATTACAAATCCGGATCTAAAATTAAGTTTGAAGCTATTTTCCAAATCACAGTTGGCACAAACAATAGCCTCTGTTGAATTCAAAAGATAAAAGTCTAAGTCAGAAATTAGAGAATGTATAACCAAACCAAGATAAATAATTTATTAGACATGTTGCTCTCCTAAGTAGCCAAAATCTGAAAGCAGAAGGTGCTCTTGGCCTTACATCTTGGTTTACAAAAGCCTGCATCGTAAAGAAAACTAGATAGAAATGTTATTCTTTGAATAAGCCAGCAAAACCTACTTGCTATGGCACTCAGAATCTCTCCTCAAAATAGGGCTATCGGATATAAACTGCCACTAGATTGTACCAATGATAAAGTGTAACTCAGATGTCATGGCTATCTGGAATTATGCAGCTCACATCTGGTATCCCAGGTTAAATATATAAGGGGCAATCATTCCGACTGAGTTTAAATAATTTAATAATAGTTGACATTGAGTTAAATTTCAATTTCAATTAACTGCAATTTATATACTATCCACTTACTTAACTTGATTCAACTCCCTTTTGGGATAATTGACCTTGCGTGCCACAAAATGATCTAGTGCAGGGGTGTCAAACTGCCGGCCCGCAGGCCGGATGTGTCACGTGGAATCTGCGCCCACCCCAGCTCCGGCAAGGAGAAAAAATCGTGATATGTTGCAACACGTCACGTGACGCAGTGAGTTTGACATCCCTGATCTAGTGCAGATTTCGTGACCGCTCCTGGAGGTTGGACTGCAGGGATCGACTCCTTTAATTGTTCCCAATATTCCAAATTGGAATTATTATATGGAATTGTATTTGCGATTAAAGTGCTAACCAATATAAATCCAGATATTAGGTATGGAGCAATTGTTTTGTTGTTGTTGTTGTTACTACTACTACTACTATAGTTTCACTATTCATTTATTCCCTAAGCAGTAAAAATTTTATAGCAGATTTTATAGGAACATTTCAAAAAGAAAACTATGAACATCTTGATTTAAAAAAAATAAATAAATCACAGCTGTATACATCAAAAGCAACCAGATGGGGAAATCTAGTTCAAAGGAATGCATCAATCTGTAGATGTAAGAAGACCAGAGCAAAGCACTGCAAAGCTTCTGTCATGTTGAGTCACACAACTTATTGTATCATGTCAGTACACCATACGTAGTTTATAAGTGAAGATTTCTTGCAGAGCACACTATGAGTGTGAGCTTAATTAATATGTTTCAAAATGTTTAGGCTTAAGGAATGCAGTAAGCAATAATCATCTTGCATGCCTTCTTTTATTTCTATCAATTCCTACATAATTTCTAGAAACTAACTTCTTCAATGCCAGGAGCAGTAACTTCCTCTTTCCATTATAATGAGGTTGAAAGCTCAAGCTCCTTAATATCATTCTCATAACGATGGATGTTGTTTGGGTGGGTGCGTTTTTCTAAGAAAAATCAAAACTTTTGGAAGTACATTTTAGTAGGGAGGAAGAGAGAGAGAATAAATGTATGCTAAATAGATCAGAAAAATGTACCTCAAAGGTGAAGATGGAGTTGGAGATGTGTGAAGAGATCAGGCTACTAGATTTATGCTGTAAATATCCAGACAGCTGTGAATGACAGCAACATGTTCTCTGTATGTCTTTATTGATATCTAGCATCATGCAGTCTTTCAAGGTTAAATCTAGTAGTCACTCTATGTCTGCTTAGGTTAAAGCCTGCCAATATAAACTAATCAGGGTTGTATGCTAAACAAAGGGCTGCAGAATTAAAAACAGTGATCTGTTGCTAAAACATTGTGAATATTATAGCTTTACCTGCAGTAAAAGGGTGAGCTGTCAAATAATCAGAGGCATTGGCCCTGCATATTTGCTCCCTAATTTATTTTCTTTCTTTTCTTTTTTTAGATAGAAAATGTACGTAGATGAAACTCCAAATGCAAGATTTACCTGGAATTAATCACTTCTCAGACTTCCCTGAAGAATTCAGAAAGATCAGGATCCAAAAATATCCTATAATGAGCTCAAAACATGAGCATGTTGCTGTAAGCAAGTGATTCTAATTGCATTGGAAATTTTAAATAATGGATAAATATATCAGGCATAATTCATCTCTAGTAATTTTTAGTCATGCACATGATCACATGAAATAAATTAGTAGCAATTCCTGACTTCTTGTTTTAAGCTGTTACATTTGTATAAATTATTCTGGAATTGCTTTATGTTCATCTATGGATCATACAGATCCTCCATTCTAGTTTCATTTGGAAGTACTGCATGTAGCCCACCAATAATTTAATATAATCATTTTATTGCCATCCATTTTTAAAAAATATGTTTATCTTTTATTAAAAAATGTTTATCTTTTATAAAATATTCATGTTGTTGTTTTGCCTAGGAAGGTCAATGGATTTTAATTGACTTACTCTTATTTTTGAGCTCAGAAATGAGCAATTTTTTGATAGCCAAGAGGCATAATAAACTTTTTTTTTTGAGTGATCAAGCGCCACAGTGAGTAGTAAAATGTTGCAAAATGAACAGGAGCAGAACGTTACAGAGGATTTGGATAATGGAAGAGTTTGCTCCATTAAAAAACTTATTAAGCCTATTTTAAAGATTAGATAGAACATTTCCTATGTAAATATTGTCACAAACTATTTCATCAGTTTTCAGCTTTTGCAGTCAGAAACAGCAATAAGACCACAAAAATAGGATTTGGAGGCACATAATCACATACAGTTAAGATTTTTGACAGTTAATGATGTAAATATAAAACAAAACAATCAAGTATAATAAAGGCATGTAATCCTTAAGCCAAAGACTCTGAAAACTTTCCATAGTAACTCAATGGTTTCTATTCAAGGTATCCAAAATATGTAAGTAGACTCAAAAAGAATTTTCACAAGCTATGAAACACAAATTTAAAATGCTGTTCCACATTCTATCTCAGAAATGTGCTAAAATCATTAACTTTAATGAGACCTTTTGAATCCATTAATAATTATGTGAACAGTTAGTTTTAATTAATCATCAGCCCATCTTTCTACCTAAC